CCCACGCAGCGCTGGCGCTCCGGGCCCCGCAGCTGCCGCGCCACGAAGGCCCCGAAGGCCAGCAGGGTCACCACCCGGCCCCAGTTGGTCACCCCGTCGCTGAACACGTGGGCTGCCACCTCCTCCACGGCCTGCAGGTCCTCCTCCTGCCGGATCTCCAGCTTCCTCAGCATCCCTGGGGAGAGAGGAGAGAGGGTTGGGTTGGGTTGGGTGGGAGGGAGGGAGGGGAAAATCCCCCCCTCCGGGGTTTGAGGGGGGGAAAAGGGGTGGAGGGAAGGGCCTGGTCCCTTCACGGGGTTTGAATTGGTTGGGATGGACACAAACCAGCCCAGGACACACCAACCAGCCCAGGACACACCAACCAGCCCAGGACACACCCTGAGGACCTTCCTCCCCCTCCCTTGTGCTGTCTGAGCTCGTCACACTCTCCTGTGTCAAAGTTTTCCGTGTCAGGACTAACCCTGGGCAGAGTTCAACCCCTGGAGATGAAGCCAAATTCACTCTCCAGGCCCAGGCAGAGCTTCCTCAGGGGGTTCTGCTGCCCAAAAAACAACCCAGGACACACTCTGAGCTCCTTCCTCACTCCTGTCTCGAGCTTTTCCAGCCCCACCACGTCAGATCTAACCCTGGGCTGAGCCCAACGCCTGGAGATGAAGCCAAGGACACCCTGCAGAGCTTCCTCAGGGGGTTCTGCTGCCCAATATTCACTGAGGCCACACAGGAACCAGCCCAGGACACACCAACCAGCCCAGGACACACTTTGACTTCCTTCCTCCTCCTCCCTTGTGGTGTCTGAGCACGTCACACCCCCCTGTCTCGAGGCTTTCCAGCCCCACCACGTCAGATCTAACCCTGGGCAGAGTTCAACCCCTGGAGATGAAGCCAAGGACACCCTGCAAGGCCAGGCAGAGCTTCCTCAGAGGGCCCTGACTCAGTTGGGACAGACAAACCAGCCCAGGACACACCTTGAGGACCTTCCTCCCCCTCCCTTGTGGTGTCTGAGCTCGTCACACTCCCCTGTGTCAAAGTTTTCCGTGTCAGATCTAACCCTGGGCAGAGTTCAACCCCTGGAGATGAAGCCAAATTCACTCTCCAGGCCCAGGCAGAGCTTCCTCAGGGGGTTCTGCTGCCCAAAAAACAACCCAGGACACACTCTGAGCTCCGTCCTCACTCCTGTCTCGAGCTTTTCCAGTCCCACCACGTCAGATCTAACCCTGGGCTGAGCCCAACGCCTGGAGATGAAGCCAAGGACACCCTGCAGAGCTTCCTCAGGGAGCTCTGACTCAGCTGGGACAGACACCAACCAGCCCAGGACACACCAACCAGCCCAGGACACACTTTTACTTCCTTCCTCCCCCTCCCTTGTGGTGTCTGAGCTCGTCACACGCCCTTGTGTCAAAGTTTTCCGTGTCAGGACTAACCCTGGGCAGAGTTCAACCCCTGGAACTCAAACCAAGTTCACCCTCCAGGCCCGGGCAGAGCTTCCTCAGGGGGCTCTGGCTCGGCTGGGACACCCCAAAACCATCCCAGGACACCCCAAAACCATCCCAGGACACCCCAAAACTATCCCAGGACACACCAAAACCATTCCAGGACACACCAAAACCATCCCAGGACACCCCAAAACCATCCCAGGACACCCCAAAACCATCCCAGGACACACCAAAACCATCCCAGGACACACTCTGAGCTCCTTCCTCACTGCCCCGGGTCAGAACCAACCCCAGGACAGAAACCAGGAGCACTCCAGAGCCGAATTCCCGGCACTGCCCTCGCAG